AATGGGTATACCGGCTAAACATCGCCTCGACTTAAAACTCATCTAAACTGTAACACGGCCTCAGTATAATATCTAAACATTGCCCTCAGATGTAAACACCACCCTCAGATGTAAACACCACCCTATAGATCTAAATAAAACCCTAAATATCGCCCTGTAAATCTAAACAATGTCAGGTATAACAAAATTTTCTTGCCAGTAATTGCTAAACATCGCCTCCGTGGAATTAAATATCGACTCCCCCTAAAAACATTAAAAATTGGAATTTTGACACAGACGGCACCCCATAAATAGGTACCCCGACAGTAACAGAGAGAAAGAGAGAGAGATAATGTATGATTATATTGTTAACTGTTATGAATTATAAATGAACATAAATGTGATTTTAGTGCCATGTCATCATTAATTTTGTTAATCAGAAAAACAACAGAAGTTTTTCTTTCAATAGTACATAGCGGTAGGTGTATATTATGATAATGCTTGTATATGACTTGCGTCCAGTCCAGTATTAAACTCCTCCACTAGTAACTCCCCAACCAGCAATGGATACCTCATGATCCAGTGACTATACAATAGATAGACAGGCAATAGGTAATACATTAAGTACATTATTAGTTGTACTTTAGCTCCAGTAGTGTCATTAAAGACTCCTCCAGTGTATTGTTCAAAGGCTGAAGTCACTGCAGTAGTACAGGCAATGGGGCCTCGTGCATAGATCTCACTCAACATCTTATCCTCTCCTAGCTGATACTCTACCATGTTCTGTGACCTGATACTATAGGAGCAATTGATACAGTAACACAATTAGGTAAATGGCTAGTTAAAATTTGTGGCTAATCATACACAAAATCCCTGTACTATAGTACAGGGACTTTTGTCCGATTTTGAAGCAACTTGAAAAATTCATAGAAAATCCAAACTGGATCAGAATCTGCTCAATCTCTCTACACAGCATAAGTACATGTATATTCATCAGAAAATGTAATAAAATTGAGAAAATTTTTACTTGTCAATTTTTGTGAAATTTTTGAAAAATCCCTGTACTATAGTACAGTCAAACCTGTCTAAAACGGTCACCTTGGGACATGCATTTAGTGGCTGTCTTATGCAGGTGGCCTTTTTATAGAGATGCCTTTAAATACAGTTTAAATTATTTTGTACACATTTACTGGCCATATAAAATATATAACAAGACTTAAAGAACTTTTAGGTACCCCTAAAGACCTAAACTGAGTTGTATATAGTATTATTTCGAAGGTATTATTTGAGATAACAATTAAAAAAAAATTAATCATTATTAATAATGTAAAAATTAATTCAAAATGGGCGTGGTACAATAGGCGTGGCTATCTGGCCGCCTGTACACAGTGGTGGTCTTTATCAGTCTTGATGGAGATTAATTCTGTCAGTGACCGTTAACCATCTTGCAGAGTGACCACTGAGACAGGTAAGTTTAGTATTACAGTCATTGTCCAAAAAATTGGGACATTAAATAGTGACCGTTTTAAAGTAGCTGGCTGTTTTAAGCAGTGACCGTTTAGACAGGTTTGACTGTACAGGGACTTTTGTCTGATTTTGAAGCAAATTGAAAAATTCATAGAAAATCCAAACTTGATCAGAATCTGCTCAATCTCTCTACACAGCATAAGTACATGTATATGCATCAGAAAATGTAATAAAATCAAGAAAATTTTTATTTGTCAATTTTTGTGAAATTTTTGAAAAATCCATTGACTATAGTACAGGGACTTTTGTCCGATTTTTGACCAACTTTAAAAAATCATTAAAAAATCCAAAACTGGATCAGAGTCTGCTAAATCTCTCTACACAACATAAGTACATATATATGCATCAGAAAATGTAATAAAATTGAGGAATTTTCTACTTGTCAATTTTTGTCAAATTTTACAAAAATCCCTGTACTATAGTACAGGGACTTTTGTCTGAATTTGGAGCAACTTTAAAAAATCATAAAAAATCCAAACTTGATCGGAATCTGCTCAATCTCTCTACACTGCATAAGTATATGTATATGCATCAAGAAATGTAATAAAATTGAGGAATTTTCTACTTGTGAATTTTTGTGAAATTTTTGAAAAATCCCTGTACTATAGTACAGGGACTTTTAACCGATTTTAGAGCAACTTTTCAGAAATCATAAAAAATTCAAACTTGATCGGAATCCGCTCAATCTATCTACACTGCATAAGTACATGTACAAGCATCTGGAAATGTAAAAAAATTGTGGAATTTTCTACTTCCCAATTTTTGTGAAATTTTTGAAAAATCCCTGTACTATAGTACAGGTAATTTTGTCCGATTTTTGAGCAAATTTAAAAAATCATAGAAAATTCAAACTTGATCAAAATCAGTTTAAACTTTCTAGACAGCATAAGTACATCTCTATCCATCAGAAAAAGAAATAAAATTGAAGAATTTTCTACTTGTCAATTTTTTTAAATTTTACAAAAATCCCTGTACTATAGTACAGGGACTTTTGTCCGAATTTTGAGCAACTTTAAAAAAATCATAAAAAATCCAAACTTGATTGGAATCTGCTCAATCTCTCTACACTGCATAAGTACATGTATATGCATCAGAAAAAGTAATAAAATTGAGGAATTTTCTACTTGTCACTTTTTGTGAAATTTTTGAAAAATCCCTGTACTATAGTACAGGGACTTTTGTCTGATTTTTGAGCAACTTTTAAAAAATCATAAAAAATCCAAACTTCATCAGAATCAGCTCAACTTCTCTACACAGCATAAGTACATGTATATGCATCAGGAAATGTAATAAAATTGAGGAATCTTCTACTTGTCACTTGTTGTGAAATTTTTGAAAAATTCCTGTACTATAGTACAGGGACTTTTGTCCGATTTTTGAGCAACTTTTAAAAATCATAGAAAATCCAGACTTGATCAGAATCAGCTCAATCGTTTTACACAGCATAAGTACATGTATATGCATCAGGAAATGTAATAATATTCAGGAATTTTTCACTTGTCAATTTTATTGAAATTTCCCAAAAATCCCTGTACTATAGTACAGGGACTTTTGTCCGATTTTTGAGCAACTTTAAAAAATCATAAAAAATCCAAACTTGATCGGAATCAGCTCAATCTTTCTACACAGCATAAGTACATGTATATGCATCAAGAAATGTAAAAAATTGAGAAATTTTCTATGTGCCAATTTTTGTGAAATTTTTGAAAAATCCCTGTACTATAATAGTACAGGGACTTTTGTCTGATTTTGAAGCAACTTTAAAAATCATAGAAAATCCAAACTTGATCAGAATCAGCTCAACCTCTCTACACAGCATAAGTACATGTATATGCAACAGAAAAAGTAATAAAATTGAGGAATTCTTCACTTGTCAATTTTATTGAAATTTCCCAAAAATCCCTGTACTATAGTACAAGGACTTTTGTCCGATTCTTGAGGAACTTTAAAAAATCATTAAAAAATCCAAATTTGATTGGAATCAGCTCAATCTTTATACACAGCATAAGTACATGTATATGCATCAGGAAATGTAATAAAAATGAGGAATTTTATACCTGTCATTTTTTGTGAAATTTTTGAACAATCCCTGGACTATAGTACAGGAACTTTTGTCCGATTTTGAAGCAACTTTAAAAAATCATAGAAAATCCAAACTGGATCGGAATCAGCTCAATTTCTCTACACTGCATAAGTACATGTATATGCATCAAGAAATGTAATAAAATTGAGAAATTTTCTACGTGTCAATTTTTGTGAAATTTTTGAAAAATCCCTGTACAGGAACTTTTGTCCGATTTTGAAGCAACTTTAAAAAATCATAGAAAATCCAAACTGGATTGGAATCAGCTCAATCTTTCTACACTGCATAAGTACATGTATATGCATCAGGAAATGTAATAAAATTGAGGACTTTTCTACTTGTCATTTTTGTGAAATTTTTGAAAAATCCCTGTACTATAGTACAGGAACTTTTGTCCGATTTTGAAGCAACTTTAAAAAATCATAGAAAATCCAAACGTGATCGGAGGCAGCTCAATCTCTCTACACTGCATAAGTACATGTATATGCATCAAGAAATGTAATAAAATTGAGAAATTTTCAACGTGTCAATTTTTGTGAAATTTTTGAACAATCCCTGTACTAAGAACATAAAAAATTAAAAAAAACAAGATGAAGTAGGATTCCGAACGACCAACGAAAATACGAAATGAAGATCCTACTCGTGACGCAAATTCAACTCTACATTGTACTTTTAATATTATTATGTAAGAATTACGGATCACCTTGCAATGTAGA